CTTCCAGTTACTCTCACACTTGCAGTCCCTGGTTACCTGTATCATTGGTGAATATCTGTCTCCCTTGAGCTCCATGGGGGCAGGGGCCACGACTGCCTGTTCAGTGCTGTGTCCCCAGAACCCACCAAGAGCCTTGTATACAGTAGGTGCTCCATAAGTACTCATTGTTGAGCACTGTGCTGTCACCTAGTGGTGTTCCTGCTTCCACCTGTGCATCCCCACCTGCTTCTAGCCTGTGCCTCACAGAGCAGCAGCCAGAAATATTTAGAAATATGAATCAGATTGCACCAGATCCCACCCTTGGACTAAAACTCAAGTCCCTCCCTACGAGACCTGCCCGGCCAGGCCCGTGTCTGACCCCATCCTCCTCTCCCTCCTCCTTGCTTCCCATGGTCTAGACACACTGGTTTCCTTTCTGTCCCCCCAGCTCCCCAGGATTTTCCTTGTCTCAGGGCCATTGCACATGTAATTCCTTCTGCCCCGAAAGCTCTCAGATCTTCACTTAATGGCTTCTTCTTGTTACTGGTGTCACCTCCTCAGAGAAGCACTCCGTGACCACCCTATGTGCAATTACTGTTCCCTCCATCCCCAGGAGTCCATCAGAACCTTTAGCCCTCTCCAGGATACTTGGCTTCTGTTCCCCAACTTGTTGGTGGCTCCATGAGGACCGGGACCCTGTCTGCCTCATTCTGTGCTGTACCCCAGTGTCTAGCACAGGACATGGCACACAGCCAGATCACAGCTACCGAATGAGTGCAGGCATGCAAGCTGCTAGGGGTCACCAGCCAGCCATGCCATGCCTGCAAATGGGGCTTTGACCCTCAGGAACTCACTGGCCATGCCGTGTCCCGCAGATGAAGCTGCTGCCCTTCCGGCAGAAGAAGGCCCACATCATGGAGATCCAGCTGAACGGTGGCACGGTGGCGGAGAAGGTGGCCTGGGCTCAGGCCCGGCTGGAGAAGCAGGTGCCGGTGCACAGTGTGTTCAGTCAGAGCGAAGTCATTGATGTCATCGCTGTCACCAAGGGCCGGGGCATCAAAGGTAGGGCTGGGTAGAGATGGGAGGCTCTACCTGGAAGGCTGCCTGGAGGGGATGGGGGCCAGGCTGGCCTCTCAGCCACCAGCCCCTCCCACCTGCAGGGGTCACGAGCCGCTGGCACACCAAGAAGCTGCCTCGGAAGACCCACAAGGGGCTTCGAAAAGTGGCCTGCATTGGCGCCTGGCACCCTGCCCGAGTGGGCTGCTCTATCGCCCGGGCTGGGCAGAAGGGCTACCACCATCGCACAGAGCTCAACAAGAAGGTGAGTCCTAAGTCCTGGTGAGGGGAACATCATGACCAGACCCCAACTGGTGGGGTGCCTGGGTTTAAGCCCACAGCTGATGGGTGTGGCCCCAGAGGTCATCTGCTGCCCTCAATGTGCCCCGTTCTCCTGGCAGATCTACCGAATTGGCCGGGGATTCCACACAGAGGACGGGAAAGTGGTTAAGAATAATGCTTCCACCAGCTACGACATGACTGACAAGTCCATCACGCCGCTGGTGAGGGTGGGCAGCCACTGTGGCTGAGGGCACCTGGTGAGCATGTGTGGGGCAGGTGTGTGGGGTGCGTGATGCCCCAAGAGCTCAGGTCCCACCAAGCAGGCCTGGTGTAACAAACCCCTCCCGCCCCACACTCTCTGAGCCTCCTCTGCAGACAGCTTATACTCCAGCTGCTGTCATGGGGTGCAGAGTGCGGCAGCTCTGACTGTGGCCTTGGAGGCAGGCTGTCTGGGTTCGAACCCCAGCTGCAGTGTGTGCTGGAGCAGGTGACTCCATCCTTCTGAGCCTCAGTTTCCCCCTTGTCTAATAAAATGCATATTGTTAAAGGAGATGGTGTAGGAGAAGATTTAGGGTGTGGCTCAGATGCTGCTCTGATCAGTGATAGAGGGTGGCACCCCCTGGCCACGGGGCCAGCACTGGCTTCTTCCAATCACAGCTGGGTATGGGAGTTCTTCCAGGGTTCCCAGATGCCCCCTAACTCAGTCTGGACCCTGACCCACCTCCCCACAGGGTGGCTTCCCTCACTATGGGGAAGTCAACAATGACTTCGTCATGCTGAAGGGTTGCATCGCTGGAACCAAGAAGCGGGTCATCACACTGAGGAAGGTCAGAGCAGGCAGTGGGTTGGGGAGCTGGGGAGCAGGAGCCCCATGGGTTTTGAAAGGGGTGGGCGGGTGGCTTGCCCTGTCCTCCAGCCTGCTCTGAGGAGGGGCAGTGGATGGGGAGAGCAAAAAGGAAGGGGTTCTGGCAGGAGATGGGGGGGTGGATTAGGGGTTACTGGAGGGGCTGGGAACCTCCGTCTTGAAGCTTTCTTCTCCGATGGGTCCCCAGTCCCTTCTGGTGCACCACAGCCGCCGGGCCCTGGAGAATATTGAACTCAAGTTCATCGACACCACCTCCAAGTTTGGACACGGCCGCTTCCAGACGGCCCAAGAGAAGAGGGTCTTCATGGTGAGCCCCTCCACCTCCTTTCTCTGGGGCTCAGACCTCACATCCCACCTGCTCCGGAGTGGGGAAGCTGGAGCAGACTGGGGCGGTGGTATGCCTTCTGCACTCATCCATAGAAGGGGGCCTGGGCACTAATTCTTGCTGGAACATAAGCTAGGGGAGGGACTACGGCGGAAGGGGGCGGCAGGGCCGGCACTGGGTGACTCAGGCGGCTGGCCAGGGCTGTATTCTGAGCCACACCCCACTCTCGCTCCCGCTTCCACTCCCACAGGGTCCCCAGAAGAAGCATCTTGAGAAAGAAAAGCCGGAAACCTCGGGAGACTTGTAGGAGGCTTGGGATGGAGGGAGCCTGAAAGGAGCGCGCGAGACCCCCGCCTGTCCCCCTTGTCTAATAAAGGCTGGAGGCAATTCTTCCCGCGGTGTCTGAATTGAGGGCGTGGAAAGGCCGGTGGACGGCCGGTGGCACGAGGCTTAGCGCCAAAGCAAACCCGGTTCGGCTGCCACCCGAACCCAGCTGAGCTCAGCGGCGCCCCCTGGCGCTGGGCCTCGGGGACGCAGCACAGCAGCGGTCCTTAGGCGGTGTCGAAGGTCAGGGCAGGCTAGGAAGACTTGAAAAGGCAAGTCCCCGGGCGGGGGGCGGGGCCTCCTGGAGGAGGAACCCGGAACCCTGGTCCTGATTGGTACCGGGGAAGGGGCGGGCCCTCTGGAGGCGGGCCCCGCCGGGGGTGTCCCGGCTTCCCTGGACGTGATTGGCCTCCTGGAGGGGGCGGGGCCTCGGGGCGCCGGGGCTGGGCGCAGGTCGTCGGTCTGCGGCCTCAGATCAGTTCCAAGCAGGCGACGCTTGTGCACCTGTCGTGTCGGCGCCATGTCGTTCTGCAGCTTCTTCGGGGGCGAGGTTTTCCAGAACCACTTTGATCCGGGTACAGCCTGTGACCTCCGGGTAGAGCGGTGGGGCGGGGGTGCACATTAGAGGGGGTGTCGCTGCCCTCGGGTGGCGATGGAGCCCTGGAGTCCCGGAATGGGGACGCCAGTGGGACCGCGCGGGGGGGGGGCGCC